AAATCCATGGCAAATACATTATCTTGAATTTCATACATATTTTATTGTTTTACAGTGTTTGATAATTCATCTTTTGAGGGCCCCATCCACAACGGTTGAGAACAACTCTGAAAGCAATATTAAATAAACCAATTTACAAAATAGAATAAAAAGAAAGCACTATGCTAAAATTATCTATAGAACTACAAATGACAGATTCTCCCTATCCTGCAACAGTTCAGTCATCAGGAGATTTAATTAATGCACCTGGATCTTCACTGTACATAATTTAGAATGATCTTACTCAATCTCACATGAGTGTTTCCAATCTGACACCCCCCCAAGACACAGGAAAGTATTACATTATCACATCTCAGACACATCACATGCCACTGTGCAGCTCCGTTCATAGATACTTACAAACTGAGGGACTGATTGGATGGTAGCATTGTGCTTGAAAGCTCTTAATATATGTTGCAACTTCCAAGGAATTAAAGCTACCGCTCAAAAAAGTTGCATAGATCAGAGCAGCACTTTAACAATGCATGACAATGCCACAAGACTCCATAAACAGAAGATTGTGTGGCAGATTGCACAAAGACTAGAATTAGCTAGCTAGTGCCTTTGGAATACAGGAGGCTGCTTTGTACAGAATTTGTCTGTGTGGCCAGTATTGCTGAATGGAGAAGTCTGGGGCTGTTTGCATGAAAAGCTACAGCCCCAACCTTAGTATGACTGTCGCTGAAATGAAGAGCTTTTGACAACTATCAGAATTACTGGCCTGTAATTCACCTCCCCAAAAATGAATATTAGAATTAACAGTGAGTATGGAACAATGAACACTTCCCTATTCCATAGCTTTTGCTTGTCTTGTCATTATTTTTTCATGATGTTTTCTTACTTTAACAAGTGCAAACATAGTAATTCCTTGCAGAATTACTTTATTATTTATTTATTAAAACATTTCTATGCCGCCCCATTCGCCGAAGCCTCGGGGCGGCTCACAACATAAAATACAAAAATAACAATATAAAAATAACAATATAAAATAAATAACAATATAAAAGAAGTCGCCCTGGCCAGATAAATAAGCAAATACTGTTAACAATTAAAATGACGCTTAAATAAAAAGGTCTACACCTGGCGCCGAAAAACAAATAACGACGGCACCAGGCGAACCTCTCTGGGGAGCGCATTCCATAGATTGGGCGCCACCGCAGAGAAAGCCCTCCTCCGAGTACCCACCCTCCTAATTTCTTTCACAGAGGGTTCCCAGAGAAGGGCCTCTCCCACAGATCTGAAGGGGCGGGCGGGCGGGCATATATGGATGTAAGCGCTCCTTCAGGTAACCATTTAAGACTTGCAGTGTTCTTATTGGATAGACCTTGGTTCAGGATTAAGCCAAAAGACAGATCTCAGAGAAGGCATGCACTAACTTTGGGATGGATTTATCCAAAGCTATCAATGCATGCTTGCTCTCCTGGAGAGGATTAAAGCATAAGGCCGTACTCCTTGACGAACATGCCTCTATGTGGATTTGTACCATCATGAAACTGTGTCAGCCAGAGCTTACAATCAGTGTTTCAAGTTCAGTAAAACCTGGGAAGTGTGTCCTTGAACATTGTATGTTTAATAGAGTACTCTTCAGGAAGATGCGGTACAATCTAGTCTCCATTTCTAGATAGTGCAACCTCTGACTTCCAGACACTTAGAGAAACAGGGAACATGTTCCGAACAATGGAGAAAACCACGTGACACATTTGGCGATAAGAACACTGAAATTCTGTGCTCAAAGCATAGTTTAGATTTGCATGCAGTGCCTGAGAAAGAGGAATGAGGGTAACACTGAGTCTCATATGGGGCTTACTCTCACGAAAGGGTTCAGGCAGTCCTAGTCTTAGCTTTTTATGCTCAATTGTCCCATTGCGTCCTCTCATCCTACCCCCTGAAGTCTTGCCACTTGAGATGTGGCAGCCTGCAGTTTATAGTTGGCATTTTGAAAGATTAGATCTCCTTTTAAGCTATAAAATAAGGCACAGTTGTGGTTTTAAATTCGGGATTTCTTTGGAATAATTCTTCATGATACATGAACCAAAATATACAAATTGGTGTCTGTTGCACTAGTGCAAGTGCGTTGTAACCATCATTATTGCAAGCCAAACACCAGGAGGAAATTTTGCACAGCATTGGATTATTAGCCAACTTGAGTATCGTTCAAACTGAGCAAGGCTTGTGCTGTGCTTTTCCCTAGAGAGTAAGAAATCATTTCTCTAATGGGGTAGGCTAGCCTTGTAAATCTTCATTGAAGGGCTGTGGAAAGAAGGGCATCTAGTTAAAGAGTCCGGAGAAGAACATTATATAATGGTAAGTGTTCAATCCATATTCTGTGTATCTGTATACATTATTTGACTTCATTCCATGAAGAGCTGGCTGTTCAAGGTAGCCTTTCCAGAGCAAGCAGGTCTTAATTTTAACTGAGGCTTATCAAGCGAGAAGGCTTCTAATGCTACAAAGCAGATTTTTGGGAAGGGGAAAAAAAAAGACCCAGTGGGAAAACATGGGAGGGTTACAGATGAAGCACGACAATGTCTGACTCATAAAATCCTATGAAAGAGACAGCAATTGTGTTATAAAAGCCCTGTCTGGAAGTACCCATACACCCAGTTAACTGTGGTGCATCAAGGAAGAGCTACTTGCTCACTGGCTCTCCAAGGGGCATGAGAAACAATAGCAGCACACAACAATGGCGAGAACATTGAAGGTGCTTTGCCCAACAGCCCTCAAAAACCTGGGGCCAACCTTAATGTGCATTCCCTAAAATCTTAATGTGAAGCTTTTATATCTGAGTAGAGAACTCAGTGATGGGACCTCATCGTTACTGAGACTCAGTTCATGGATGTGCAAGTATATTTGGGAACGTAGGCCTTAGCTATGTGTAGTCTAACCCCTCAACAGAAGAGAATGATTCCAGTGTCTTTGCCTTGATTGCTTCTTGCGTAATCCTCTGGGCCTTACTAGCAAGAGGACTTCTAGTTTTACTTTCTGATCTTTTATGTAAACCAGTACATTTTTAGTTCTTCTTGCTAAATGACATCCTTTTGATCTCCTTGCTTCATCTCTTTAACTTTATTAGAAACATCCTGATTGAGTAATCAGCCATATAATGCGGATTCACTAATGTGTGGCATTCAGAAACTATAGATAATGGAGCTTTATAAAATGCTCCACCAAATACTGAGAAAACCAAAGGAGAGGAGAAACATTTTTTAAAATATGATGCAGCAACCATAATAGAGCACAAAAGCAGTGTGAAGTAAATGAACAAGACACAGTGCAGTAAATTTATGTTGACAAGCACCATTTTGCATCTGTTAAATATGGTGAGAAAGCACTCAAAGGGCTCCAACTTGTGTCGATTTATGTAGCTTTTCACCAGTGGGTGTGCCACTAATCTTTGCTTTAGTGACTGAAATACAGGGAAACCACACTCTAGTTCAACACTGGCAATCGACAACATTTCACAAGGTATGTTATTTTTCAGATCGGGAGTGCAATGCCATTATTGCACAACCAAAACTGGAGTTACCAAAGAGCCTACATTTAATCTGCCACAGGAAAAATAATCCAACCATGTCAAGCAGATGCTGCATAAGAAGAATATGAGATGTATCTTCAGGCCAAAATTCAGGGTGTAATTCGTTTAACCCGTGAAATTCATACATGGGAAGCATGTAGGAATAGGATAGGCTTGGTCTTGAATAAAGATAATTAAGGATAGGACGTAATTTGAGCTTTTCATTTCTCTTTTACTAAGAAAATCGTGCACAGAGATGAAATGATGCTTCAGAAGTCAGACAAAACATGCCAAAACATTCATCCCCCTTCCTCAACAGCATAATTAGTGGTTTGTCCACTGGAGGCAGACTTGTTGAACCTGACTGATCATTATATTCATGGGATGAAAAATACACCTTCAAAATAAGAAGAAAATGTATAAAATTGATCTAAATTTGAAATCTAGCCATTGATTATTGTTGTTTTAAATGGACCAGACTTTGCCAACAAAAGTGCGTATAGTCAAGGCTATGGTTTTCCCAGTTGCAATGTATGGCTGTGAAAGCTGGACCATAAGGAAGGCTGAGCGCAAAAGGATTAAGGCCTTTGAATTGTGGTGCTGGAGGAGACCCTTGGACCACAAGGCGATCAAACTGGTCAGTCCTAGAGGAGATCAACCCTGACTGCTCTTTAGAAGGCCAGATCCTGAGGATGAATCTCAAATACTTTGGCCACCTAATGAGAAGGAAGG